ATAAATTTACATGCGTTTTTTGAGAAATCGGAAATAGCGTAAATTAGTACTTCCGTTCAACGGAAATTACTCAAAATTTGACAGAAGGTAGAGAATTAGATCTTTTACTTACATGTGAAATTTTATGTATCTATCTGAAATAGTACTCAAGTTATAGGCTTTTGAAAAAATCAAAGTAGAAAAAGTACCACTTACCGTTACTGATCTACGATTTCGATAAAATACTTACATATGAAATTTCATCAACCTAGCTTTAACGGTACTTAAGTTTACACACAGACACACACACACAGACACACAGACATACGGACAAGATTGCAAAATTATGTTTTTCCGTGTCAGTGAGGTATAAAACGTCGAGATTTGTAAAAATCTCGATTTTTATTTTGCACGATTACAAGACTTTCTCTATACTTCGTATATACGATAAATTAAAAAATAAAGATACTCACTTTTAAAGGTCTATGTGTCTAGGTATAGACTCGGTGTATGTTTGTGATTGTTTTATTTCTAGCCTACCAGCCGCCTTTTGAGAAAACTAAACAAAGTTACACATTTCTACTTTACGACTTCGGAAGTGGCGACCTCTGGGATGACATGGCATCAAAGTCGATCTGCTTTATGAGAAAACAGTATCTTTTTGTCGTGAGCCACTTAGCAGCAAGCCAGCTGGATATCACGATAAACCAAGCGGACACGGTACCAGACCGACTGGCTGAGCTGCTGGAGCACTGCCCAGTCGATGACGACTTTGAGATCCGTAGTAGGTTCTTGGGTTGTCTCACCATTAAACTTTAAGTTGTCTCACCGTTAAACTTTAAGTTGTCTCACCATTAAACTTTAAGTTGTCTCACCATTAAACTTTAAGTTGTCTCACCATTAAACTTTAAGTTGTCTCACCATTAAACTTTAAGTTGTCTCACCGTTAAACTTTAAGTTGTCTCACCATTAAACTTTAAGTTGTCTCACCATTAAACTTTAAGTTGTCTCACCATTAAACTTTAAGTTGTCTCACCATTAAACTTTAAGTTGTCTCACCATTAAACTTTAAGTTGTCTCACCATTAAACTTTAAGTTGTCTCACCATTAAACTTTACGTTGTCTCACCATTAAACTTTAAATTGTCTCACCATTAAACTTTAAGTTGTCTCACCATTAAACTTTAAGTTGTCTCACCATTAAACTTTAAGTTGTCTCACCATTAAACTTTAAATTGTCTCACCATTAAACTTTAAGTTGTCTCACCATTAAACTTTAAGTTGTCTCACCATTAAACTTTAAGTTGTCTCACCATTAAACTTTAAGTTGTCTCACCATTAAACTTTAAGTTATTTGATGTATCATTTTTATTATCTTTCATGATGTCATGTTGTCATGATGTCACTGTGTCATGTTGTCATGATGTCATTGTGTCATGTTGTCGTGATGTCACTGTGTCATGTTGTCGTGATGTCACTGTGTCATGTTGTCGTGATGTCACTCTGTCACGTTGTGATGTCACTGTGTCACGTTGTCGTGATGTCACTGTGTCATGTTGTCGTGATGTCACTGTGTCATGTTGTCGTGATGTCACTGTGTCATGTTGTCGTGATGTCACTGTGTCATGTTGTCGTGATGTCACTGTGTCATGTTGTCGTGATGTCACTGTGTCATGTTGTCGTGATGTCACTGTGTCATGTTGTCGTGATGTCACTGTGGCATGTTGTCGTGATGTCACTGTGTCATGTTGTCGTGATGTCACTGTGTCATGTTGTCGTTATGTCACTGTGTCATGTTGTCGTTGTGTCATGGTGTCATGTTGTAGTGTCATTGTGTCATGTTGTCGTGATGTCACTGTGTCATGTTGTCATATTGTCGTGGTGTCACTGTGTCATGTTGTCATAGTGTCATTGTATCACGGTGTCATGTTGTCATGTTGTCGTGGTGTCATGTTGTCGTGATGTCACTGTGTCATGTTGTCATAGTGTCATTGTATCACGGTGTCATATTGTCGTGATGTCACTGTGTCATGTTGTCATAGTGTCATTGTATCACGGTTTCATGTTGTCATGTTGTCGTGGTGTCATGTTGTCGTGATGTCACTGTGTCATGTTGTCGTGATGTCACTGTGTCATGTTGTCATAGTGTCATTGTATCACAGTGTCATGGACCATATCAACATATCCAGTTATGTTTCCGTGTACCAACAAACTTCATTCAAATGTAGGAAAAGGATCTGGTACACCAGCACCAACAGAAGCACCAACAGAAGCACCAGCACCAACAGAAGCACCAACAGAAGCACCAAAAGAAGATACATCAGGTAAGGAGGTAATGGAAGGCTATAGAGTGAGTTTAGGGGCTATTACAAAGTTTAGGGGCCTATTCCTAAGGTTAAATATTTATGTTTTAAACTTGAGTTTGTAATATTAAGTGTTAACTGTGGAGGTTTACATTGTTTTAAGTGTTAACTATGGAGGTTTACATTGTTTTAGGCTTAACATGTCAGAGCTTGATCGAGTGCTATTTAGAGTCAACCATTTCTCTATGATGTGCTATATAAAAAGTAAAGTTCCCTTTCAAATCTAACGGTCTATGGGGCAAGTGAAGTAGAGTTCACTTGTTTCTGTGACCTCGGCATATGAAGAGAATGTGGTCAGCACTATGCCCAGCCGCCTTTACTTTCCCTAACGTGAGTTAGGAACCCATCAGAGTTGGGTGAACTCAGGGACGGTCTACTGACTTGAACCCGATTCGAACTCGAGACTTACGGGTTAGCAGTCCAGCTCTCTACCGCTAGACCACTCCGTCCCATTTCTCTATGATGTGCTTTATAAAGCCAACCATTTCTCTATGATGTGCTATATAAAGCCAACCATTTCTCCTTCAAGATGGCAAGACGGCAAGATGACAACAGTATTTTATAGCATCCCCCCCTCCCTCATCCCATCCCAACCACCCACACACATAAAAACATTTTAAACGCTAAACCCTAATCCTTATATTAAGTTATATTTTATCTAGTGAAAAAGCTTAATTTTATTATCGCACAAACTGCCTAATTTTTCGCTCATTATTGGCTAAAATGTTCGCTAAAATGTTCTCTAAAATGTTCTCCCCGAAATTCTACTAGACATTTGATAGCCCAGATTTGCATATATTACTAAAATAATACAAATATTTAAAAGAAAAACTTTTAAACATCAAGTTTTTAAATGCAGTGAAAATAAGAAAATAAAAAAAAAAGTTGCTCATGAGATGACTTGTCGTGATGTCACTGTGTCATGTTGTCGTGATGTCAATGTGTCATGATGTCATGATGTCGCTCATGAGATGACTTGTCGTGATGTCACTGTGTCATGTTGTCGTAATGTCACTGTGTCATGTTGTCGTGATGTCATTGTGTCATGTTGTCGTGATGTCACTGTGTCATGTTGCCATGATGTCATTGTGTCATGTTGTCGTAATGTCACTGTGTCATGTTGTCATGTTGTCGTGATGTCACTGTGTCATGTTGTCGTAATGTCACTGTGTCATGTTGTCATGTTGTCGTGGTGTCACTTGTCATGTTGTCGTGATGTCACTGTGTCATGTTGTCATGTTGTCGTGGTGTCACTTGTCATGTTGTCGTGATGTCACTGTGTCATGTTGTCATGTTGTCGTGGTGTCACTTGTCATGTTGTCGTGATGTCACTGTGGCATGTTGTCATGATGTCATTGTGTCATGTTGTCGTAATGTCACTGTGTCATGTTGTCATGTTGTCGTGGTGTCACTTGTCATGTTGTCGTGATGTCACTGTGTCATGTTGTCGTGATGTCACTGTGTCATGTTGTCGTGATGTCACTGTGTCATGTTGTCGTGATGTCACTGTGTCATGTTGTCGTGATGTCACTGTGTCATGTTGTCGTGATGTCACTGTGTCATGTTGTCATAATGTCACTGTGTCATGTTGTCGTAATGTCACTGTGTCATGTTGTCGTGGTGTCACTTGTCATGTTGTCGTGGTGTCACTTGTCATGTTGTCATGATGTCACTGTGTCATATTGTCATGTTGTCGTGGTGTCATGTTGTCGTGATGTCACTGTGTCGTGTTGTCGTGATGTCACTGTGTCATGTTGTCGTAATGTCACTGTGTCATGTTGTCATGTTGTCGTGGTGTCACTTGTCATGTTGTCGTGATGTCACTGTGTCATGTTGTCGTAATGTCACTGTGTCATGTTGTCATGTTGTCGTTGTGTCACTTGTCATGTTGTCGTGATGTCACTGTGTCATGTTGTCATAATGTCATTGTGTCATGTTGTCGTAATGTCACTGTGTCATGTTGTCGTGGTGTCACTTGTCATGTTGTCGTGGTGTCACTGTGTCATGTTGTCGTGATGTCACTGTGTCATGTTGTCGTTGTGTCACTTGTCATGTTGTCGTGATGTCACTGTGTCATGTTGTCGTGATGTCACTGTGTCATGTTGTCGTGATGTCATTGTGTCATGTTGTCGTGATGTCACTGTGTCAAGTTGTCGTGATGTCACTGTGTCATGTTGTCATGATGTCATTGTGTCATGTTGTCGTAATGTCACTGTGTCATGTTGTCATGTTGTTGTGGTGTCATTTGTCATGTTGTCGTGGTGTCACTGTGTCATGTTGTCGTGATGTCACTGTGTCATGTTGTCGTGATGTCACTGTGTCATGTTTTCATGTTGTCGTGGTGTCACTTGTCATGTTGTCGTGATGTCACTGTGTCATGTTGTCGTGATGTCACTGTGGCATGTTGTCATGGTGTCACTGTGTCATGTTGTCGTAATGTTACTGTGTCATGTTGTCATGTTGTCGTGGTGTCACTTGTCATGTTGTCGTGATGTCACTGTGTCATGTTGTCGTGATGTCACTGTGTCATGTTGTCGTGATGTCACTGTGTCATGTTGTCGTGATGTCACTGTGTCATGTTGTCGTGATGTCACTGTGTCATGTTGTCGTAATGTCGCTGTGTCATGTTGTCGTGATGTTACTGTGTCATGTTGTCATAATGTCACTGTGTCATGTTGTCGTAATGTCACTGTGTCATGTTGTCGTGGTGTCACTTGTCATGTTGTCGTGGTGTCACTTGTCATGTTGTCATGATGTCACTGTGTCATATTGTCATGTTGTCGTGGTGTCATGTTGTCGTGATGTCACTGTGTCGTGTTGTCGTGATGTCACTGTGTCATGTTGTCGTAATGTCACTGTGTCATGTTGTCATGTTGTCGTGGTGTCACTTGTCATGTTGTCGTGATGTCACTGTGTCATGTTGTCGTAATGTCACTGTGTCATGTTGTCATGTTGTCGTTGTGTCACTTGTCATGTTGTCGTGATGTCACTGTGTCATGTTGTCATAATGTCATTGTGTCATGTTGTCGTAATGTCACTGTGTCATGTTGTCGTGGTGTCACTTGTCATGTTGTCGTGGTGTCACTGTGTCATGTTGTCGTGATGTCACTGTGTCATGTTGTCGTTGTGTCACTTGTCATGTTGTCGTGATGTCACTGTGTCATGTTGTCGTGATGTCACTGTGTCATGTTGTCGTGATGTCATTGTGTCATGTTGTCGTGATGTCACTGTGTCAAGTTGTCGTGATGTCACTGTGTCATGTTGTCATGATGTCATTGTGTCATGTTGTCGTAATGTCACTGTGTCATGTTGTCATGTTGTTGTGGTGTCATTTGTCATGTTGTCGTGGTGTCACTGTGTCATGTTGTCGTGATGTCACTGTGTCATGTTGTCGTGATGTCACTGTGTCATGTTTTCATGTTGTCGTGGTGTCACTTGTCATGTTGTCGTGATGTCACTGTGTCATGTTGTCGTGATGTCACTGTGGCATGTTGTCATGGTGTCACTGTGTCATGTTGTCGTAATGTTACTGTGTCATGTTGTCATGTTGTCGTGGTGTCACTTGTCATGTTGTCGTGATGTCACTGTGTCATGTTGTCGTGATGTCACTGTGTCATGTTGTCGTGATGTCACTGTGTCATGTTGTCGTGATGTCACTGTGTCATGTTGTCGTGATGTCACTGTGTCATGTTGTCGTGATGTCACTGTGTCATGTTGTCGTGGTGTCACTGTGTCATGTTGTCATGATGTCACTGTGTCATGTTGTCGTGATGTCACTGTGTCATGTTGTCGTGATGTCACTGTGTCAAGTTGTCGTGATGTCACTGTGTCATGTTGTCATGATGTCATTGTGTCATGTTGTCGTAATGTCACTGTGTCATGTTGTCATGTTGTCGTGGTAACACTTGTCATGTTGTCGTGGTGTCACTTGTCATGTTATCTTGGTGTCACTGTGTCAAGTTGTCGTGATGTCACTTGTCATGTTGTCATGATGTCATTGTGTCATGTTGTCGTGATGTCGCTCATGAGATGACTTGCTGCGACAAAAAACATTTCAAACCCGCCGGTTGCTTGCATCCCCTGACAGTTATCTGCCCCTAATTGGGTCATGGCCGACGCGAAGACTAGAAATGAACCAACGGGGACAGTGAACTGTTGAAAACACGCTGTTCCAATCATCGCTTGAAATTTGTTACTAAATTTAGAAATTTTAAATTTAATGACTAGTTTTCTATTTAATTGATATTCATGCATTGCCAATGAAGAACTATCTAGAAAGTTTGAATGAAATTGCTGCATTAGAAGTAAGTCGAAATTGAGTTCCATGATTTTTCTTTCTAGTTACAAATATTTTGCTTAGTTAAGAACTAAGTAAAAGCTTGTCAATATTTTTCTTTCATTTTGGAAGCTATCACCTGATGTGAATCATTTCTTGCACATGACAAGTGCTAACCTTTCTCATATTGCAAATAGCTGGAGCAACGAGAAAACCCAACAACTGCCTGGGACAACAAATTGACGAGCAAACAGGACATTGTCGGAGAGGTTGTCTGGCCACATTTTGGAAGGAGGACTGTAAAACTGGTAGGTGTAGATTGGTCATGCTTGAGTGGTTTATGTAAAACTGGTAGGTGTAGATTGGTCATGCTTGAGTGGTTTATGTAAAACTGGTAGGTGTAGATTGGTCATGCTTGAGTGGTTTATGTAAAACTGGTAGGTGTAGATTGGTCATGCTTGAGTGGTTTATGTAAAACTGGAGGGTGTAGATTGGTCTTGCTTGAGTGGTTTATGTAAAACTGGTAGGTGTAGATTGGTCATGCTTGAGTGGTTTATGTAAAACTGGTAGGTGTAGATTGGTCATGCTTGAGTGGTTTATGTAAAACTGGTAGGTGTAGATTGGTCATGCTTGAGTGGTTTATGTAAAACTGGTAGGTGTAGATTGGTCATGCTTGAGTGGTTTATGTAAAACTGGTAGGTGTAGATTGGTCATGCTTGAGTGGTTTATGTAAAACTGGTAGGTGTAGATTGGTCATGCTTGAGTGGTTTATGTAAAACTGGAGGGTGTAGATTGGTCATGCTTGAGTGATTTATGTAAAACTGGTAGGTGTAGATTGGTCATGCTTGAGTGGTTTATGTAAAACTGGTAGGTGTAGATTGGTCATGCTTGAGTGGTTTATGTAAAGCTAGAGTGTAGATTGGTCCTGCTTGAGTGGTTTATGTAAAGCTGGGGTGTAGATTGGTCCTGCTTGAGTGGTTTATGTAAAACTGGAGGGTGTAGACTGGTCATGCTTGAGTGGTTTATGTGAAGCTGGGGTGTAGATTGGTCATGCTTGATTGGTTTATGTAAAGCTGGAGGGTGTAGATTGGTCATGCTTGAGTGGTTTATGTAAAACTGGTAGGTGTAGATTGGTCATGCTTGAGTGGTTTATGTAAAACTGGTAGGTGTAGATTGGTCATGCTTGAGTGGTTTATGTAAAGCTAGAGTGTAGATTGGTCCTGCTTGAGTGGTTTGTGTAAAGCTGGAGGGTGTAGACTGGTCATGCTTGAGTGGTTTGTGTAAAGCTGGAGGGTGTAGACTGGTCATGCTTGTGTGGTTTGTGTGAAGCTGGTCCCCACGGTTTCACAGTCCTACTAGCTCCACCCTTCTCCCTAATCGCTTCACTATCGCCTCTCGTCTGATTACAAGTCCAACCTAACTGGCGCCCCGTCTGGCGCCCCGTCTGGGGCCCCGTCAGACATCCCATCTCATCCCTTCGAATAACTTGCCAGTCAGTGCTATAAAATACCAAAAAGTTAATGGTGACTACACAAACAGTTCAATGGTGACTACACAAACAGTTCAATGGTGACTACACAAACAGTTCAATGGTGACTACACAAACAGTTCAATGGTGACTACACCAACAGTTCAATGGTGACTACACAAACAGTTCAATGGTGACTACATTAGCAGTTCAATGGTGACTACACAAACAGTTCAATGGTGACTACATTAGCAGTTTAATGGTGACTACACAAACAGTTCAATGGTGACTACATTAGCAGTTCAATGGTGACTACACAAACAGTTCAATGGTGACTACATTAGCAGTTCAATGGTGACTACACCAACAGTTCAATGGTGACTACACCAACAGTTCAATGGTGACTACATTAGCAGTTCAATGGTGACTACACAAACAGTTCAATGGTGACTACATTAGCAGTTCAATGGTGACTACACAAACAGTTCAATGGTGACTACACAAACAGTTCAATGGTGACTACATTAGCAGTTCAATGGTGACTACACAAACAGTTCAATGGTGACTACAATAGCAGTTCAATGGTGACTACATTAGCAGTTCAATGGTGACTACATTAGCAGTTCAATGGTGACTACACAAACAGTTCAATGGTGACTACACCAACAGTTCAATGGTGACTACATTAGCAGTTCAATGGTGACTACACAAACAGTTCAATGGTGACTACACAAACAGTTCAATGGTGACTACATTAGCAGTTCAATGGTGACTACATCAACAGTTCAATGGTGACTACACCAACAGTGCAATGGTGACTACACCAACAGTTCAATAGTGACTACATCAACAGTTCAATGGTGACTACATTAACAGTTCAATGGTGACTACATTAACAGTTCAATGGTGACTACACCAACAGTTCAATGGTGACTACACCAACAGTTCAATGGTGACTACATTAGCAGTTCAATGGTGACTACACAAACAGTTCAATGGTGACTACATTAACAGTTCAATGGTGACTACATTAACAGTTCAATGGTGACTACACCAGCAGTTCAATGGTGACTACACCAACAGTTTAATGGTGACTACATTAGCAGTTCAATGGTGACTACACCAACAGTTCAATGGTGACTACATTAGCAGTTCAATGGTGACTACATTAGCAGTTCAATGGTGACTACATTAACAGTTCAATGGTGACTACACCAACAGTTCAATGGTGACTACATTAGCAGTTCAATGGTGACTACATTAGCAGTTCAATGGTGACTACATTAACAGTTCAATGGTGACTACATTAGCAGTTCAATGGTGACTACATTAGCAGTTCAATGGTGACTACATTAGCAGTTCAATGGTGACTACATTAGCAGTTCAATGGTGACTACATTAGCAGTTCAATGGTGACTACATTAGCAGTTCAATGGTGACTACACCAACAGTTCAATGGTGACTACACCAACAGTTCAATGGTGACTACATTAGCAGTTCAATGGTGACTACATTAGCAGTTCAATGGTGACTACACAAACAGTTCAATGGTGACTACATTAGCAGTTCAATGGTGACTACATCAACAGTTCAATGGTGACTACATTAGCAGTTCAATAGTGACTACATCAACAGTTCAATGGTGACTACATTAACAGTTCAATGGTGACTACATTAGCAGTTTAATAGTGACTACATCAACAGTTCAATGGTGACTAAATTAACAGTTCAATGGTGACTAAATTAACAGTTCAATGGTGACTACATTAGCAGTTCAATGGTGACTACACCAACAGTTCAATGGTGACTAAATTAGTAGTTCAATGGCGACTACATTAGCAGTTCAATGGTGACTACATCAACAGTTCATTTGGTGACGATGATGTGTCACCACTACTGTAAGGCAAAGATTGAGGCTTTTGTATGGCCGGGTATCCCTTCTTGTTACTGGTTACCAGTTGTCAAGTTGTGTGCTACCATTCCCAGCAAGTTATTTGATTCTCCAGTGCTCACACCAGTGCTCACACACCATTGCTCACACACACCAGTGCTCACACACCAGTGTTCACACACACCATTGCTCACACACCATTGCTCACACACACCATTGCTAACACACACCATTGCTCACACACCAGTGCTCACACACACCAGTGCTCACACACCATTGCTCACACACCATTGCTCACACACACCAGTGCTCACACACACCAGTGCTCACACACCAGTGCTCACACACACACCAGTGCTTACACACACCATTGCTCACACACCAGTGCTCACACACACCAGTGCTCACACACACCATTGCTCACACACCATTGCGCACACACCAGTGCTCACACACCATTGCTCACACACCAGTGCTCACAACACCAGTGCTCACACACCATTGCTCACACACACCAGTGCTCACACACCAGTGCTAACACACACCATTGCTCACACACCAGTGCTCACACACCTTTGCTAACACACACCAGTGCTCACACACCATTGCTCACACACACCAGTGCTCACACACACCATTGCTCACACACCATTGCTCACACACACCAGTGCTCACACACACCATTGCTCACACACCAGTGCTCACACACACCAGTGCTCACACACACCATTGCTCACACACCATTGCTCACACACCAGTGCTCACACACCATTGCTCACACACACCAGTGCTCACACACACCATTGCTCACACACCATTGCTCACACACCAGTGCTCACATACCAGTGCTCACACACCAGTGCTCACACACCAGTGCTAACACACACCATAGCTCACACACACCATTGCTCACACACCAGTGTTCACACACACCAGTGCTCACACACCAGTGCTAACACACACCATTGCTCACACACACCATTGCTCACACACCAGTGCCTACACACCATTGCTCACACACACCACCTGCTCCTCGCCAAATATCTTTCACACCACTTTTATACCCACACACAGCCCACACAATTTCATCCTAGGGGATCGAAACTGTTTCTAACCTAGCACTAAAATTGTAAGACTGAAAGAAAATGTGTTCATCCTAAAGTATGTGACGTCTAGATAAATTCTTACGTTGATCCAAAAGTATGTGACGTCTAGACATAAATTCTTACGTTGATCCCAAAGTATGTGACGTCTAGACATAAATTCTTACGTTGATCCCAAAGTATGTGACGTCTAGACATAAATTCTTACGTTGATCCCAAAGTATGTGACGTCTAGACATAAATTCTTACGTTGATCCAAAAGTATGTGACGTCTAGACATAAATTCTTACGTTGATCCCAAAGTATGTGACGTCTAGACATAAATTCTTACGTTGATCCAAAAGTATGTGACGTCTAGACATAAATTCTTACGTTGATCCCAAAGTATTTGACATCTAGACATAAATTCTTACGTTAATCCCAAAGTATGTGACATCTAAACATAAATTCTTACGTTGATCCAAAAGTATGTGACGTCTAGACATAAATTCTTACGTTGATCCAAAAGTATATGACGTCTAGACATAAATTCTTACGTTGATCCAAAAGTATGTGACGTCTAGACATAAATTCTTACGTTGATCCAAAAGTATGTGACGTCTAGACATAAATTCTTACGTTGATCCCAAAGTATTTGACATCTAGACATAAATTCTTACGTTGATCCCAAAGTATGTGACGTCTAGACATAAATTCTTACGTTGATCCCAAAGTATGTGACGTCTAGACATAAATTCTTACGTTGATCCAAAAGTATGTGACGTCTAGACATAAATTCTTACGTTGATCCCAAAGAATGTGACGTCTAGACATAAATTCTTACGTTGATCCAAAAGTATGTGACGTCTAGACATAAATTCTTACGTTGATCCCAAAGAATGTGACGTCTAGACATAAATTCTTACGTTGATCCAAAAGTATGTGACGTCTAGACATAAATTCTTACGTTGATCCCAAAGTATTTGACATCTAGACATAAATTCTTACGTTGATCCCAAAGTATGTGACGTCTAGACATAAATTCTTACGTTGATCCCAAAGTATGTGACGTCTAGACATAAATTCTTACGTTGATCCAAAAGTATGTGACGTCTAGACATAAATTCTTACGTTGATCCCAAAGAATGTGACGTCTAGACATAAATTCTTACGTTGATCCAAAAGTATGTGACGTCTAGACATAAATTCTTACGTTGATCCCAAAGAATGTGACGTCTAGACATAAATTCTTACGTTGATCCAAAAGTATGTGACGTCTAGACATAAATTCTTACGTTGATCCCAAAGAATGTGACGTCTAGACATAAATTCTTACGTTGATCCCAAAGTATGTGACGTCTAGACATAAATTCTTACGTTGATCCCAAAGAATGTGACGTCTAGACATAAATTCTTACGTTGATCCCAAAGTATGTGACGTCTAGACATAAATTCTTACGTTGATCCCAAAGAATGTGACGTCTAGACATAAATTCTTACGTTGATCCCAAAGTATGTGACGTCTAGACATAAATTCTTACGTTGATCTACTCTAGCGTGTGGGCATTGTGCGGGTATCGGATCATGTGACCAAAGGACAGGCTACTGCCCAAGTGGCTGTAAGGACGGGTATGAAGGTCTGGATTGTAACAGTGAGTTTCTTAAATTTGAACATTTGTCTGACCACGGCCCCGCAGGTAACTTATAACATTTGTGTGACCAAGGCTCCACTGAGGTAACTTATAACATTTGTGTGACCACGGTCAGACTAAACTAAATAGTTTAATGCCGGGGAGAGGGGATGACCTCGCGCCACTACTGCCCACATGCAGTACTCATGGAGAGCACTACATGGATGTATTAACTGTGAGGTAATTGACCCCTACAGGGATTTATTAACTGTGAGGTAATTGACCCCTATAGGGATGTATTAACTGCGAGGTCATTGACCCCTATAGGGATTTATTAACTGTGAGGTCATTGACCCCTATAGGGATTTATTAACTGTGAGGTCATTGACCCCTATAGGGATGTATTAACTGTGAGGTCATTGACCCTTATAGGGATGTATTAACTGTGAGGTCATTGACCCCTACAAGGATGTATTAACTGTGAGGTCATTGACAGGTTTACTTTCTATGATATAAGACCTGTGTTCAATTTTCATCCTCAAAGTATTGTCAGTAGTTTTAGTAAGGTCAAACTAAATATTGTCCGTAGTTTTAGTAAGGTCGAACTAAATATTGTCAGTTTTAGTAAGGTCAAACTAAATATTGTCAGTAGTTTTAGTAAGGTCGTACTAAATATTGTCAGTTTTAGTAAGGTCAAACTAAATATTGTCCGTAGTTTTAGTAACGTCAAACTAAATATTGTCAGTATTTTTAGTAAGGTCAAACTACATATTTTCAGTAGTTTAAGTAAGGCCGAACTAAATATTGTCAGTAGTTTTAGTAAGATCGAACTAAATATTGTTAGTTGTTTTAGTAAGGTTAAACTAAATATTGTCAGTAGTTTTAGTAAGGTTAAATTGAATATTGTCAGTAGTTTTAGTAAGATCGAACTAAATATTGTTAGTTGTTTTAGTAAGGTCTATCTAAATATTGTCAGTAGTTTTAGTAAGGTTAAATTGAATATTGTCAGTAGTTTTAGTAAGATCGAACTAAATATTGTTAGTTGTTTTAGTAAGGTCAAACTAAATATTGTCAGTAGTTTTAGTAAGCTGAAATTTAATATTGTCAGTAGTTTTAGTAAGGTCAAACAAAATATTGTCAGTAGTTTAAGTAAGGTCGAACTAAATATTGTCAGTAGTTTTAATACGGTCAAACTAAATATTGTCAGTAGTTTTAATACGGTCAAACTAAATATTGTCAGTATTTTTAGTAAGGTTAAACTAAATATTGTCAGTAGTTTTAGTACGGTCGAACGAAATATTGTCAGTAGTTTTAGTAACGTCATACTAAATTTAAATTTTTCGTAGAGAGTACATGGGATGTAAATCAATTGTGAAAAAAAATCGAATTCGATATTTTCACACATCTTAGTTTTGCAGTTGTGTCAATACGACTGTGTCTGTCTGTGTGTCTGTCTTTGTGTGTAAGTATCATATCATTTGTGTAGCTCTTTGTCGACTTCTGAGCAACCGGAAGTCGTACTATACTCTATTCCTGTGTGAATTTTATAAATTGAGCACTGATCCGGAAATGTTCAACGAATTTCAAATATAAAATGTACTGGGATCACCTGCAATAATTTTAGTGACCTTCAATTAACGGAAATGGTACTTTACTATATTGCTGGTTTTTAAAATACTAAAACACTACATAGTAGACCTGACGACAAAATCTCACACATACTTATACGATCTTATTCGCTGTTTTCTGTCACTTTCTGCGTAGTTTTCGGTGACCGGATGTAGTACTTTACGCCATTTAAAATGTCTGAAAAAGTAATCGATATTTCCTTTAGAAAGTATAATTGTTGGTTAAATATACTGACTCTGTTTGTGTTCAATCGTTACGCATTTCTTTATTCTGCGCGGTTCTATTCTCTAGCGCTCCAAGTATTATCCCCTCTGTTATCTCTAACTATAAAAGCTAAGTTGGGGTTGTTTGTTTGTTTGTTTGTTTGTTTGTTCCTCACACCTATTAGATCGGGTACTTGCAGGTAAGTTGCAGAGAAATAGCTGTTCTCATTTTAACGGTAAAAATCGATTTTAAAGTGACTGAAAACTGACCTAGGCTGAGCGCGGCCTTAGATCGACCACTTGCAGATGCGACAATAACTTGATATTTGAGGAGAAAAATACCAGATACTTAGAAATGTCGTAATAAGGGCTTAAAATTCTAACCGTTTTTCATTTCGATTGAACCAATTAAAGGGACACATCTGCGTAATGAAACTTTTAATTACCACCGGTGTTTGACTACACACACAAAGAAACAAAGAAAAAGCATTTGGACAAAAGAAAATTTGCTTTAAAATGTATTCTAAATAGTTTTCAAATAGGTGTGAAAATTTATTTTTAAAATGAAGCGGGAGTGATCTCCCCTAAACTTTTTCTCGAATATTCTTATATAACACTACGGGGAATGCAACTCGCGATACAGACTTGTTTTTTATTCATTTTTTAATTACTTAAACATTTAAAAATAGAATAGAATCTCGTAGAAAAAAGAATTCCGCAACAAGTGAACAGCAAACAATGTGTGTATAATAGTGCGGAATATTATTACTTCAAAAATTCTTTTGCGGTTCTTTTTTTTTTTTTTTTTTTGAGAAATCGGAAATAGCGTATAATACTATTCCTGTAAAAGGAAAGTTCTCAAAAACGGTTTTCGAATAGGTGTGGATATTATATAATGTCTAATGATTGGTATTTGATATATGACTGGTTTTAAAAAAGCAACTACGTCACATATATACAATGAAGCTCATTTGTACATTTAATAGGGTATTTTTGTTTAAAGAGGGTATTGCAAAGTTTTTATAACACTGATATTTGATATTTACAGGGCTATTTTGTACAAAGCATCCTAATATATAAAAGCCCATGTGTGCACTTCTCTCCTCTCTCTCTCTCTCTCTCTCTCTCTCTCACTCTCTCTCTCTCTCTCTCTCTCTCTCTCTGTGTGTGCCCGGTACATATTTTCCGAGGCTATGACGTCAGTATCTTCAGCAATATATGGGGACTTAAAAGATAAGGACTTTTGTTGAAAATAATATGTTTGATGTAATAAATGTATAAACTAACTTTCATTTAAAGACAGAAAATAAAAACAAAGACATAATTATGTGAATGTAGAAACATCTCTTTAATCTGCAACCAGAGAACAATCTGGACAACATATACTAACATAGAACAGAAAAATATCCTTATGAAACAATGTTTTAAAAAGTCTAAACTACACAACACGTGTGGCGTCATTGTTTGTAGAATAAAAAGAAGAATTAAAAATCGAAAGTCGAAAATGATACACACTACTAATACTGTCGTCTTCAATATGATTCGAATGCCAAATCTTCCGATTTTAGAATAATGAAGACATGAACTATTTCATTCAAATTTGATTTAGATCTAGAATCTATAGCTCTACTTATCAAGACGTAGGCCTACGCTGTGAAATGTATACACTTTTCTCGGCCAAAAGTAATAAAAATAAAAATTAGTTTAAAGAACAACAGAAAATGCCATTGAACAGCCGGGGTTTTAACGGAATCATTTAAGTCACTTAATCAGTTTGGACGTATAATATGGTGTTGTGTTGACTAATAATGTATATAATTTGGTTTAAATTTTCCAATAGGTATTGGGAGCCTATGCTATATTAAACGGTCAGAATTTTTAGCTATTTAGTTATTTCTTTGCTTTGTCACTAAATATGTTCAACATGTAGTAAAGCAAATCGCGTTTTGACCACTAAATATATTATTTTTTTTTTAATTCTCAAACAAGTAGGACCGATAACATTTTTAAAATATAGGCCTATAACTTACGTGTGACGGGTGCCGATGGCTAGTTAATAAACCTCAAGGAAAGAGAAATGCAAACAGTTTCGACCTTAAATTAAGTCTTCGATGCTAAGATATATTGGAATAATTAACTCTCTGAATTTCTTCTATCCTATCAAGAATATTTATTTTAAAAACAACTGCTATAATTTATCTGATTCAAAAAAGATAACGTTTAAACATTGTTACGTAAGTCTTCAAAACGACGCGATTTCCTCAACATTTAAAAAAAATAAATCCATATTTTGTTGTATTAATTTGGTCATGGTTATGTGGGGTGAGGTGGGGGGGGATGCAAAGTTGTGGCCTAAGGAGATGTTACGTAACGTTAATCTCGGTCAATTTACCAACGTCATTACCCTCCAATCCAATCACCATCCAGCCCAATTACCCCTGTCAATTACCATCCAGTCCAATTACCCTCCAATCCAATTACCCTCCAGTCCAATCACCATCCAGTCCAATTACCATCCACTCCAATTACCATCCAGTCCAATTACCCTCCAGTCCAATCACCATCCAGTCCAATTACCATCCACTCCAATTACCATCCAGTCCAATTACCTTCCATCATTAGATGTGAAAAGTATACATGCCACATTTTATACTAACTGGTATTTTTTCGTCAAGTCACCCTTTATATAGAGTTTCTTCTTTCTTTAAGGCATCTCCCTCAGAAGAAAGTTTAACCCTTCTTTCTTTAAGGCATCTCCCTCAGAAGAAAGTTTAACCCTTCTTTCTTTAAGGCATCTCCCTCAGAAGAAAGTTTAACCCTTCTTTCTTTAAGGCATCTCCCTCAGAAGAAAGTTTAACCCTTCTTTCTTTAAGGCATCTCCCTCAGAAGAAAGTTTAACCCTTCTTTCTTTAAGGCATCTCCCTCAGAAGAAAGTTTAACCCTTCTTTCTTTAAGGCATCTCCCTCAGAAGAAAGTTTAACCCTTCTTTCTTTAAGGCATCTCCCTCAGAAGAAAGTTTAACCCTTCTTTCTTTAAGGAATCTCCCTCAGAAGAAAGTTTAACCCTTCTTTCTTTAAGGCATCTCCCTCAGAAGAAAGTTTAACCCCCCACCCCACCCCCAAACCCAAAAAATTTGAATTTGTATAAAAACATTTTTGTCTCCCCCCCCCCTACCCCACGAAAAGGGGAAGAAAGTCTGGAAGAAACACTGATGGAGTAACATGTTTAGTCAAATGACGTCACTTGGAATAATATGTCAGGGCAATTGACATCATGTATTTCCCATCAACAGACGAGACCGGCATACCATGGGGTGATGTGCTCATCGTCTTATCAGTGTTGGCGGCCATTTTACTTGTGGTTTTCGTCGTCTATCGCGTCTTCTTCAAAAAGGTCTACTATGTGGATGTGCATGAGGATGGTAAGTCAGGTCTATTATGTGGACGTGTATGAGGTAAGTCAGCTCCATTATGTGGACGTGTATGAGGTAAGTCAGCTCCATTATGTGGACGTGTATGAGGTAAGTCAGGTCTATTATGTGGATGTGTATGAGGTAAGTCAGGTCTATTATGTGGATGTGTATGAGGTAAGTCAGGTCTATTATGTGGACGTGTATGAGGTAAGTCAGGTCTATTATGTGGACGTGTATGAGGTAAGTCAGGTCTATTATGTGGACGTGTATGAGGTAAGTCAGGTCTATTATGTGGACGTGTATGAAGATCTGTATCCCTAGACTGGCACTCCCCACACCAAACAAAAACCTAAACCTAACCACTGAACCTAATATGCGAACCTAACCCTAAACCTAACCACTGAACCTAATATGCGAACCTAACCCTAAACCTAACCACTGAACCTAATATGCGAACCTAACCCTAAACCTAACCACTGAACCTAATATGCGAAACTAACCCTAAACTTAACCACTGAATCTAATATGCGAACCTAACCCTAAACCTAACCACTGAACCTAATATGCGAACCTAACCCTAAACCTAACCACTGAACCTAATATGCGAACCTAACCCTAAACTTAACAACTAAATAAGCATCTACTATACAGACCAAGTAGCCAATGTGTACAGCCTTTTCGATGTCGGTCTTTTGCCAGTCCGCGTTTGGGTTAAAGTTAGGGTTCAGGTTTAGACAGTGGCGTAGCGAGGTCGTGTGTCACCCGGTGCAGCATCTAATGGTTCACTCCCTCCCCCCCCCCCCCAGTAAGAAAACACACACACACACACACATATATATATATATATATATATATATATATATATATATATATATATATATATATATATATATATATATATATATATACATAAATAAATATATTCAATATACACTTTTAAGTATGTGTATACGCACGTGTATATGTATGCAATTTTTTTTCTGGATGTATTTTATTCCCCCCCCCCCCCCCATACACGAATTAACATATTACGATTCTCAACCAGCTCGTTTTCCTCAGGCATATATATTGCAACGTTGAATTGATGTAACCCCCCCTCCCCCCCCTCTCCCCCCTCCAGGTCACTCCCACGGTGATTGCTTTAAACTAGGCTCAGATTAGCAGGTTTAAGTCACGGTGTCACACCCCCCCCCCCCCCCGACTATCCATTCGTGTCAGGATTTGTCCACTCTGCTCTTAAAGAACTTTTAAATTCACTCAAACTAATCATTTGATTAAGTGAAATTATCATGTTTCTGTATATATTTTGCTCTTTTTACCTTGGTGTCACCCCTCTAAATGGATTCACCCGGTGCGGTCCGCACCCCCCTCCCCTTCGCTACGCCCTTGGGTTTAGATTTAGATTATGGCTCTATTTCGCGCCAGGCATCACGCCGAAGAAAATCTGCCGCCCGCCAGAACATATTTTTTTTAAATATTTATTTATACTTTTAACATTTGAATTGAAAAACCTAAACATGTATTTTCCATTTGAATTGAATTACCTAAATATTTATTTGTGCTAGCTGGAGATCCTGAACAAGGGAAGTAAAAGGCAATGAAAGAAAATGAGAAGCACGGAGAAAATGATGAAACAGGCAGCGCTGAGATTTAGGGACGTCTATGTCTCTTTGTCTATAGTATATAAGTGAATGGTCTTTAGGTCTATGTATTATTGTCTATAGGCCCATAATCTATGGTCTATTGTGTATGGTCTATGTCTATGGTCTTAAACATTGTTTATGTATCTCTATGGTCTATGCTCTTAGAGTTAACATGGACTAACTGTAAGAGATGTTGAGGGGAAATGTTATTATTTCTGAATTTTGCATTGTTGTTTTGTGAAAACAACGCTGTGTAGAAGCAATCTACTCTCATATTGGATTATTTTAATAGCTAACCCTGACCCTTACCGTACTAATATACGGCAGCCAATCGCCCGAATAAGCTATTGCACAAATGTATTATAAATACAGGGCCTATGTTTAATGAATTAGGATTTTATGTGTTATATTAATAAACAGATGAAGTATATGAAATAAAAAAAAATTGCTTTATTTAATAAATTATAATTTATTAATTAAATAAACAATTATTATTTTGAAGATGTAGCTCAAGTTCTGTCCGTCATGTTGTTCTCCATCATCTTGTGTGCTTTACTTTAAAAATTGAGAAGTCGTTCTATATTTTTATCAAAACTGGGAAAAATTGAGAAGTCGTTCTATATTTTTATCAAAACTGGGAAAAATTGAGAAGTCGTTCTATATTTTTAATCAAAACTGGGGGGAAAATTGAGAAGTCGTTCTATATTTTTATCAAAACTGGGGGAAAAATTGAGAAGTCGTTCTATATTTTTATCAAAACTGGGGGGAAAATTGAGAAGTCGTTCTATATTTTTAATCAAAACGGGGAAAAATTGAGAAGTCGTTCTTTATTTTTAATCAAAACGGGGAAAAATTGAGAAGTCGTTCTATATTTTTAATCAAAACTGGGAAAAATTGAGAAGTCGTTCTATATTTTTAATCAAAACTGGGAAAAATTGAGAAGTCGTTCTATATTTTTAATCAAAACTGGGGGGAAAATTGAGAAGTCGTTCTATATTTTTAATCAAAACGGGGAAAAATTGAGAAGTCGTTCTTTATTTTTAATCAAAACGGGGAAAAATTGAGAAGTCGTTCTATATTTTTAATCAAAACTGGGAAAAATTGAGAAGTCGTTCTATATTTTTAATCAAAACTGGGAAAAATTGAGAAGTCGTTCTATATTTTTAATCAAAACTGGGGGAAAAATTGAGAAGTCGTTCTATATTTTTAATCAAAACGGGGAAAAATTGAGAAGTCGTTCTTTATTTTTAATCAAAACGGGGAAAAATTGAGAAGTCGTTCTATATTTTTAATCAAAACTGGGAAAAATTGAGAAGTCGTTCTATATTTTTAATCAAAACTGGGAAAAATTGAGAAGTCGTTCTATATTTTTAATCAAAACTGGGAAAAATTGAGAAGTCGTTCTTTATTTTTAATCAAAACGGGGAAAAATTGAGAAGTCGATCTATATTTTTAATCAAAACTGGGAAAAATTGAGAAGTCGTTCTATATTTTTAATCAAAACTGGGAAAAATTGAGAAGTCGTTCTATATTTTCAATCAAAACTGGGGGAAAAATTGAGAAGTCGTTCTATATTTTTAATCAAAACGGGGAAAAATTGAGAAGTCGTTCTTTATTTTTAATCAAAACGGGGAAAAATTGAGAAGTCGTTCTATATTTTTAATCAAAACTGGGAAAAATTGAGAAGTCGTTCTATATTTTTAATCAAAACTGGGAAAAATTGAGAAGTCGTTCTATATTTTTAATCAAAACCGGGAAAAATTGCCTTCACTGTGAGATATTTGAAAAGATCATCAGAAACATGCGCAAACAGAAAAAAGGGCACATAGAAAAAAAGGGCAAACGGAAAATTGCGCTAATGGAAAAAAGCGCAAACGGAAAAAAGTGCATCGAGAAAAAAGCGCAAACAGAAAATTGCAAACAGAAAAATGAGCACAACGAAAAATGCGCAAACAGAAAAAAGCGCAAACGGAAAAAAGCGCTAACAAAAAAATAGAACATAGAAAAAAGCGCAAACAGAAAAAAACGCAAAAGAAAAAAAGCGCAAACAGAAAAAAACGCAAACGAAAAAAAATATCAAACAGAAAAAAGCGCAAACAGAAAAATGAGCACAACGAAAAAATTTGCAGATAAATTTTAGCACATAGACCTTTATGGACTAGATGACACATTTTTACATGACTGTTAGAGCTGCTGTGAGAGTGTCGTGTTTGATCACGTGATCTGGGTGCGCGGACCTTTGACCACAGGTGCTTTGACCATAGGGGGTTTGACCATAGGGGGTTTGACCACAGCGGAGCTTTAACCATAGGGGCTTTGATCATAGGGGGTTTGACCATAGGGGGTTTGACCACATGTGTTTTCTCAGCAGAGGGTCTTTGATCACAGGTGGTCTATCGACTGGTGTTTGATCACAAGCGCTGTGTCTGGCTTTGATCATAGGTGTGATACAATAAACACGATTTTATACATGTTTCTTGAAAGTACGTTAATAAAAATTAACATGTATTTAAATAAACCGGGAGTGATCTCCCCTAAACTTTCTCGAATATTCTTATATAAAAAAACAGGAGATGGGAACTCGGGCTATAGACATGATTTTTAATCCATTTTAAATACTTAAAGTTTTAAAAATAGAATAAAATCTCGTAGACAAAAGAATTGCACACCAAGGGAACGCCAAATAAAAAAGTGCATAAAAGTGCGCAATATTATTAGTACTTTAAAAATTTACATTAGTTTTTTGAGAAATCGGAAGTAGCGTAAATTACTACTTCCGGTCAATAGAAATTACTCAAAATTTAACAGAAGGTAGAGAATTAGATTTTTTACATACATGTGAAATTTCATTTATCTATCTGAAATAATACTCAAGTTATAGGCTTTTGAAAAATTCAAAGTAGAAAAAGTACCACTTCCGGTTATCGGAAATCGCTCAATAGTTGATACGGATCTACGATTTTGATAAAATACTTATAAATGAATTTTCATCAACCTAGCTGTAACGGTACTCAAGTAATCGTGTTTACACACGGACAGACAGACAGACAGACACACAGACATACGGACAGAATTGCAAAGCCCAGACTGGATTACGCATAAAACCTCTTAATTTTGATAAATCTGGATTGATAATTTTTGCCCGATTAAAATAAGTCCTCTATACTTCGGATGTGATGAATGACTGAGGTCTAATACGGTGAAAATTGTTAAAATTTAAAGTGATTTTTGTGCACGATTACAATACTTTCTCTATACTTCATATATACGAGAAAGTAAAAAGTAAAAAAAAAATAAAAAAAAAACATATTAACAGTCAATTTAAAAAGTTCAACTACAATCATCGTAAATACTATTAAAATTTCGCTGTGAGATATTTGTCTGAGATATTTTGTCTGAGATCAATTGTCCATGATATCATTTGTCCTGATATATTTTGTCCTGGTATCTTTTGTATATGAGATCATTTTCCTGAGATCATTTTCCTGAGATCATTTCTCCTTGAGATATTTTGTCCGTGAGATATTTTGTCTGAGATATTTTGTCTGAGATCATTTTTCCTGAGATCATTTGTAATGGAACCGTTGCTCATTGTGCTGTTCAGTACATGCTTTGTTTTGTGTTAGGATTGTTACATTTAAGTATTCGCATAGATTCAGAGTAGCGTCCCTTTTGTTTACATGTTTTCATTACCCTTCATATTATAGTCTATTTTAGTTATATTGAGATTGAAGAATGTAAATAAATAGTACACACAATTCTGTAGAATAGGAACGATTGGGAGGGAAGTGACATATAGCGCAAGAAATTTAGAGGTTAGGTAGGGTATAATTGGTGGGGTTAGGAAAGTTTGGTGGTCCATTCTCTAATAGGCAGTCTAGGTCTCGTTCGTACTTTCAAACAAAAAAGAAGTTAATTATATTCAGACTTCGTGTTGGTTTATTGTCGACCCTGTCCTCACCTCACATCACAACAGTTGGGTGACGCTTACCTTGTCATGTTAAAATAAATAGCATGTATAGTTCGAAGTGAGTTTTCATACAAGCCAAACGCACTAATTAAGGCTGTCGCAAAAGATGTAACATATGTCGATAATGTCAATGAATTTTCTTTTAAAAAAAGATATCTAGTGCAGTTTACGAAACTAAGTAATGTCGCCAATACTTTTTCTGTGTGTGGAAATTTCTGTGTGCGCTTTTTCTGTTTGCGGTTTTTTCTGTGTGCGCTTTTTTCTGTTTGCGATTGTTTCCATTTGCGCTTTATTATGTGTACGCTTTTTTCTGTTTGCACTTTTTTCCGTTTGCGCTTTTTCCTGTTTGCGCTTTTTTTTCTGTGTGCGCTTTTTTTCTGTTTGCTCTTTTTTCCGTTGACTTTTTGTTTTGCGCTTTTTTCCTGTTGCGCTTTTTCCGTTGCGTTTCTTTCTGGGAACCATTTTAAAAGCACGTATAACGTGATAAGTAAATATGAATTATCAAAACAAAATGATTGTGGAGAGCACCTCTCAACTTCCCTTTGTACTCGAGGGCCCTTTGACACAGCGCTTGTGATCAAACACCAGTTGATAGACCACCTGTGATCAAAGACCCTCTGCTGAGAAAACACATGTGGTCAAACCCCCTATGGTCAAACCCCCTATGATCAAACCCCCTATGGTCAAAGGCCCGCTATGGTCAAAGCCCCGCTGTGGTCAAACCTCCTATGGTCAAAGCCCCTATGGTCAAAGCTCCGCTGTGGTCAAACCCCCTATGGTCAAAGCACCTGTGGTCAAAGGTCCGCGCACCGTTTGAATTACTTCCAGTGGAATCGGGCTAGAGAAATAGCAGGTAAGTTTTCGGAGCAACCCGTTTACTTTTCGAGAAAATACATAAGGGCGATGGTTCCTAAAACATACCTCATTGTGAAAATATTATTTAAAATTATAATATTCCATCTTAACCGCAAACGGAAAGTTAACATAGTGGACATTTAGGAACAGCTTCGAAATTGTTATTGATTACAAATAAGACTTATTAGTAAGCAGTACATTCGATATAGAAACAAAATTGTTTCTAAAATAGCCGTTTTTACCTTCCGCTGTCACACAAAGACCCACATAGTCCATTTGAGCTTTTTATATTAGACGAATGGTCCCGGCCAGGCCCTGCAATGGCCGATATGAAAAATCTACATGTAAAGAACCTTGACTTTTTTTAAGCAGCATATACCCGCCATTGCCCGGGTTTAAGTAATATATTACTTTTCTCGTTATATTTCTATATGCAACTTTGGACGTTTGAGAAAATATCAAATAACACCAAACCTAGCTCTAATTCTAACCCTAACCTTAACCACAAATAACCATAACAAAAACAAACATACAAAAAAAAACTACTTAAAATGTGTTTATTTTTATTTTTTATTATTTTTATAAGTCACGTCTGTATT